GCTTTGTGGCTAGTGAAGTGCCAGTGTGGGTTAGGGCTGCGAGGAGCCAGGCCAATTCAGGAGGGCAGAGTCAGGCCATCAGGATGGGGGGCACGGTGTCTACCTATGGTCCAAATACTTCAACTTGATGCCAAATGGCAGGTGCAGTCACTTAGCTCCCTCCCTGAGGAACTTATCAATTGTTTGCTGCTCCACCTCCTTCCCATCCAACATGTTTTGCCTTCTTCTTAGCTGGGTCTAGGCCAGTGGTTCTCAACCTTCCTAATGCCGCGACCCTTTCATACAGTTCCTCGTGTTGTGGTGACACCTCCAACCATAAAATTATTTTCATTGCTACTTCATCACTGTAATGTTGCTACTGTTATGAATTGGGTGACCCCTGTGAAAAGGTCGTTTGACCCCAAAGGGGTCACGACCCACAGGTTGAGACCGCTGGTCTAGTTGGACCTGGTTCTTTGATCGTCTATAAACTTTGCCTCTCCTCTCCATAGAGCCTGAGGTATGTTCTCCAACATGATCGCCTCCAGAACTCTGAATCAGAGATTATTGAGTACGGCCCAAAGTAAGGTGACCAAAGCATGACTTCCAATCTAACCTTTGCACGATTTTTCCTTGCTCGGGAGCCCAGAGGAAAGAAGGAATGTGTAAACAATTAAACAATGGAAATTTAGAATGCACAGATCTATAAAGGTCACTTCCAACTTCCAATCCAATTTAGTACCTCCTTTGCAGGGAGCCTCATAGGACTCATCTTCCAGCATTTGCCTAACTGAAGCCAGCAAATGCGATGCTTCATTAGCCTACCTGTTCTATGTTGGCCACCGCTGCTGCTTAGCCAGTGGGCAGAGTGGAGAGCAAACATGGGTCTGAATTATGATTCGGTCAGTTTTTATACTTACGTGCCTTCCCAGCTCCCCTTGCAGTGCAGACTCAAGTTCTCAACGATGCCTACACAATATGGCCCCTGCTGACTACACTCTTGTTTTCCATTTTCCACTGTAGCCACACCATGCTTCTCTCTGTTCCCAATATGCTCTGCTGTTTTCTGCACCTGGGCCATAGCCCATGCGGTTCCCTCTACCTGGGAACAAGATTTCTCTAGTCACCATCTTTCTTTATCCTGATCATTTTAATTGACCCTTTGTGTCTCAACTTAAACATCACTTCCTCAGAATATTTTATAGACTCTCATAGTATCCTATATTTCTCCTTCACACTAGCTCTGTGATCCTGGGTGAGATCCTTCCCTCTCTGAGCCTTTTTCCTGTGTTACTCCAGAGAAGAACCATACAGTTGTGAGGCGTGAGCTACATAGCACACACAAAGGGCTTTGTACCAAGCCTGGTACAAAGTAAGTGCCCCCCAAATGCTATCATGATTATCTCATTGAATCCTCTTAACAATTGCTGTGTGGCAATAATTACCTCCAAGTCCTTACAAAACGAAATATGAAATATACCAACTTAAGGCTTTGTCAAGGGTCTGACAAACCGGTCAGGGCAAACTCCCAAGGGCTGGCTCTCAGAGGTCAGGCAAAGGCTATGGTCTCCCATTCCCCCTGCCCACTTCCCTACTAGGACTTGAACTTAATGAAGGGAAGCAGCACTCTGGGCTGGGGGATTTGGGAAGGAGGGGAAGCCAAGTGTATGTCATGCCATGGGAAAGCTAGATGATAAGAGAGCTATGTCCATCACTGTGGGTTATGCTCACAAAAAGCCCTGGTCCGAGAGGTGGTCTGATGGGAAGATATTGTAGCTGGGGATGTCGAAGCCCAGATAACTTAGAAAGTTGGATGGAGAGGCAATCTGGTTAGACAAACCCATGTATGGCTGTAAAGCAACCATAAATGCCTTGATCTTGTCTTTGAAATTCTCCCTAATATTCCAGACAAATGGACTGAGAGCAAAGATAGCATTCTTATCATGCCAAAGTCGATTCATACTCTCCAAATCCGGAGTGTCAATCTGCAAGCCAACACAGAAAGAATGGTCTGGGGTTCAAGAATGGCTCCAGATTCAAAATTGCCAATCTATGCCAGTCTCACTAGCCCCTAGAACACTGATCTTATTGCATTTCATTTTTAATGACTTTTCTGGATCATGCCATCTAAGTAAGTGTCTCCCAAAGTGAACAGACAGAACCTCCCCCAGAGGGGACCCTGGAACCATCCAGGGGGGCTGCAAGAGCAGATGCCTACACTTGATCCTGGATTATGGGCTGTATACAAAAGCGTCTCACTGCCAGCAGACAGAGTAATTTTCCGCTGTTGTTTCAGGAAAGGGAGCAGGTCAAATAAGTTTGGGATGCTATGCTTAATAGTGATCTCTTTTGGCGTGTCCAAAGCTAAATATCTGCTCTTTCCTCTAAATTTGCTATGTCGCTCATATCCCACCTCATCTGGCAGCAAATCCCTTTGCCTCTACAGCCCAAATCTACCCACAGTCCAGTGACAGGGAGTGGACGAGGAGCAGTACATTTTAGAAGTCCGTGACTAAAGTAAAACAAAGTCCATTAAAAATATCAAAACAAAAAACAGCCTTTTGTGAATTAGATAAAGATCGACAGACCAGACCATCAGTCTTAGATTCAATAATTCATACACGTTTTGTTTTAATTCATCATTGTGATCCCCACATTGTGCCGTCCCGTATTCTGCTTTCTCCGGGTGTTTCCTGTTTCTGTCCCTCCTTTCGTTATCCTTTGAGCTTTGTCATTGGGTAAATGCTGCCCGTTGGATCTTCCATAGTTGACTTTTTCATCACGTGGGTGAGTTCAATTCCAGACCATAGTCTCGGGCATTCCACCCATCTTCTCCCCAACCCCCATGTTTACCGTTAGCAGAAACCCACAGAGGCAGTTCCACTCGGCCCTACAGAGTGGCCATGAGTCAGCGTGGACTCGACGGCAGGGAGGGGAGCTCCAGGAGCTGGGCCTGCGGTCAGCCCGCAGTTATGGCAGGCAGCGTCTGGGGGTGGTGACACCAGTGGTTCTCGATGTACCCTCAGTACCAGATATCCTCAGGAGGTGTTCTGACTTAAACAATAATCCTCACAATGAGTCATCAGGATATCTCTGCGTAGTCATCCTGGGACGGCTGGCACACCACCCCAGGGAGTCACGTTTACATGTGGATGAAGGTGGTGAGGACTGAGAAAGAGGAAGAGGGACCCAAACGAGACCGATCGTCTAGAGACAAGTAGGTGGAGAGTGGTAACACAGAGACGAGGGAGCGAAACGTCAGAGCCTGACCAGTATTGGCCTGTTGACGACGAGGTTTGTCATGGGATTCAGCTGCAGGTAAAGGGGAAAGAGGATTGCTTGAGGCTTCAGTCTGGGCACCCAAGGTGAAGTGGCTAAACACAGAAGAAGCCAGTCAAGGACCCCGAAGAGGAGCAACCAGTGAGGAGGGAAAGCAGGTGAGGGTGCTGTTGAGGAAATCAAAGAAGACGGGACTTCAAGGGCCCTTCAGAGACTAGTCAGCTGAACCAAATGTTGCCGGATAGTTGATTACAACAGAGAAACGACCATTGGCTCGGACACTGAGAGAGTCATCTGTAACCTTGACCTCCAATGTTGCACTGGAGGGGAATGAATGAAGGCCCTGATACATAGTGACCAGTCCAGCCTGCCGGACCTCACCATCTGTGGGACTCCAGAAAGAGCACACCCTTTGGACTCAGCCTTAGGCTTGCTTCTGATGTGTGTGAGAGTCGAACCATGCACCACGTCTTCTACATATTGTCTGTGTGGACTCGAGCAATCCTCCATCATCTCTAACTTGGGTTACCTCATAAAATTTTCATGGATTTTGGTAGATGTGTAAAAGCACTAGGCATTGGGACACAGTAGAATCTTAATGGCTTTATTATTTATTCACACACACACAAACTGATCTAATGAAGGAATAATATGTAAGTAAAAAATCATTGGTGGTCAGATGATTATTTGTACCACCATCATCTCACGGGCCGTTTGTTTAGCAGCCTCCCTGCTCCTCTGGGTAACTACAAGCCTCGGTACTGAATCACCAGGCCTGCTATAAAGCTCCATCTCATTCCTCCCAGGAAGAGAAGTGGAGAGAATGGCACACTTAGCTCCACAAAATTGGTTCACATCAGGACCATGGCCCTTTCAAGATAGGTCACAGAGTCCATCAACCTGTCTTCAACCTTCATTTCCTTCTCTGCAAGATGCGGATGGCATTTACCCTGCCGAGTAGTTTTGTGAACTAAAAGGAATAAAATAGGCCAATTTAAGTTCCAAAATTGTACTGGTGTACCATTAAAACGCAGGCATACTATGATGGATGTGCAAAGATGACTCATTGTCATCCCCTAAACTTACTGAGCACATCGCCATCTGTTTTTCAGCTTGATCGAGTCAAGGGGAGGGTGAAGAGAGGGGGGCCCTTGACAAGGCGGGCGGCCACAGCGGCTGGACAGCGGGCTCAAACACGAGCACCATCGTGAGGATGGCAAGGATGGCGCAGGAGCAGGACCGGGCGGCACGGATTTGTTCTGTTGCACACGGGCTCACTGCAGGTCGGAGGGACTCGGTGACACCTGCCAACAACGGCGTCGTGTGGCAGACCCATAGGGTCTTGGGTGAAGAAGCAAAGACCAACCAAAGATAGGCCCTAGGGCGTTTAGACTCCAGTGGAGACAAAGAGGCTGTAAGGTGGACAGTGCGTGTTTGGCCTTGGCGCTGGATGCTAGGGAGTCAGAAGGAACTCCCAGACTGGGGTTGGCCAGAGAGAGTGGCAGATGACTTCCTGGGTCTGTCTCAGTACGGATGCCTCAGCACATGGAGC